GGCTGAAGACATGTTGTAGAGTGTTCACATAATGTAGGTTGTAGAGAGGTTGTGGACATGTAGGCTGTAGACGTGTTGTAGGCTGTAGACATGATGTAGGCTGTAGACATGTTGGAGGCTGAAGACATGTTGTAGAATGTTCACATAATGTAGGTTGTAGAGAGGTTGTGGACATGTAGGCTGTAGACGTGTTGTAGGCTGTAGACATGTTGGAGGCTGAAGACATGTTGTAGAGTGTTCACATAATGTAGGTTGTAAAGAGCTTGTGGACATGTAGGCTGTAGACGTGTTGTAGGCTGTAGACATGATGTAGGCTGTAGACATGTTGTAGGCTGTAGACATGTTGTAGGCATTTTAAAGGCTGTACATAGACATGTTGTAGGTGTTCACATAATGTAGGTTGTAGAGAGGTTGTGGACATGTAGGCTGTAGACATGTTGTAGGCTGTAGACGTGTTGTAGGCTGTAGATGTGTTGTAGGCTGTAGACATGTTGTAGGCATTTTAAAGGCTGTACATAGACATGTTGTAGGTGTTCACATAATGTAAGTTGTAGAGAGGTTGTAGGTTGTGAACATGTTGTTGGCTGTATACATGATATAGGTTGTAGGCATGTTGTTGTTGACTATAGACATGTTGTTGGTTGAAGGCATGTATTTGTAGGCTGTAGACTTGGTATAGTTTGTAGGCATGTTGTAGGCTGTAGACATGTTATAGGTTGAAGGAATCATGAAGGAAGTTGTAGGCTGTAGACATGTAAAAGGTTGAAGGCATATTGTAGGCTGTAGACATGTTATAGGTTGAAGGAATCATGAAGGAAGTTGTAGGCTGTAGACATGTAAAAGGTTGAAGGCATATTGTAGGATGTAGACATGGTACATGTTGAAGGAATCATGAAGGCATATTGTAGGATGTAGACATGGTACATGTTGTAGGCATATTATAGGATGTAGACATGTTATAAGTTGTAGGCATATTGTAGGCTGTAGACATGTTATAGGTTGTAGGCATATTGTAGGATGTAGACATGTTATAAGTTGTAGGCAAGTTGTAGGATGTAGACATGGTATATGTTGTAGGCATATTGTAGGACGTAGACATGGTATAGGTTGTAGGCAAGTTGTATGATGTAGACTTGGTATAGGTTGAAGGAATCATGAAGGAAGTTGTAGGCTGTAGACATGTTAAAGGTTGTAGGCATATTGTAGGATGTAGACATGTTATAGGTTGAAGGCATACTGTAGACAGTAGAAAATTGCAGGTTGTAGGTTGGATGTTCACTATGGTAGGCTATAGATATTTTGTTAATAAAATTCATATTATAGCAGGCTTTGAGAATTTATTAGATGTATCCAGGTATTAATTGATCATGTGTTCGACCCCTGTGCTGTTTCCTGATGACTACCTTCATCAGTAAAAAAGCTAATCAAACCTGGTATATATTGCTGACATTGAGCTGGTACTCAGTAACACCAGGTCTGGCCTGATAGGGGATTGATTCATTCAACATGACAAGGTTATCCCATCATGTTTAATGATAGATCAAATTGATTTTAGTGATCAAATATTTTCAGTTGAAGACAATTGTGATTGGCAAGGTTTTAGTTGGGGGAAGGGGATGGGAATGTGCTTTAGTGTAAGGAAAATCCTGCGATGCAAGCTTGCATTTTGAATAACCTACATCCATAGGTCTTTATCCTCAGACTTTTGGTATATATACACTACTTAAAAGTGGCTGCACGTGGCAACAGTCAGAAACACTTGTTTTGTTCAGCTGTTCATTGAATAAAATTATCTGAAAGAAGGAAATCTGCACAAGATTCTTTGAAAAAAAAATTAAAAACATGCCAACATCTTATTGTACTTGATTAAGTGAAAATATCTAATATCAACAAACAAAGATGAGTTGGGGTCAATTAATGTCAACAAAATTAATTGTAAAGAAGCATATTATTGAAAAATACCTGATCAGGAGAAAACAAGTTGATTATTATCGTTTGTCATTGGTGACTGTGACTGTTCAAAGACAAAATCAACATTTGAGAGCAGAGAGTAAATCTGGTATGAAGGGGTGTTAGAGTACAAGTATATAAGTATTAGTATAAGCGATTGATTCCTCCTTTGTTAAGGCATGATTTCAATGAATGGTTCAGTCTTAGGATGGTTTGGTGTGTGGATGGTTGAGCCAAGGAATGGTATGTTGAGTTTGGTGTGTGGATGGTTGAGCCAAGGAATGGTATGTTGAGTTTGGTGTGTGGATGGTTGAGCCAAGGAATGGTATGTTGAGTTTGGTGTGTGGATGGTTGAGCCAAGGAATGGTATGTTGAGTTTGGTGTGTGGATGGTTGAGCCAAGGAATGGTGTGATGAGTTTGTAGGAAATCATAGTGTTGATGAGTTTGGTGTGTGGATGGTTGAGCCAAGGAATGGGTTGAGTTTGGTGTGTGGATGTTTGGTGTATGAGCCAAGGAATGGTATGTTGAGTTTGGTGTGTGGATGGTTGAGCCAAGGAATGGTATGTTGAGTTTGGTGTGTGGATGGTTGAGCCAAGGAATGGTGTGATGAGTTTGATGTGTGGATGGTTGAGGTAGGAAATCATAGTGTTTTAATTGATGAGTTTGGTGTGTGGACAGATGAGCTAGTGAGTTAATTAATGAGTTTGGTGTGTGGATGGTTGAGCTAGAGAATGTTACATTCAAACTTCGATGTTTTGAAGTTCAAGGGACTACGAAAAAAGCTTTGATACATTGAGACTTCAAATCATGCGTGCTGGGTTATATTGATGTTTTCATGTTCATGGCTATATATAGTTGATGACACGATACTTCTACCTAAACAAACACAACAAATACCAAAATGCAAGTTTAAATGAAAAGATGCATTTTTATCTTTAAACAAAACAATTTCATTCCTGAAAAAAAAACAACATAACTTTAAGTTGAAATGAACAGGAAATTGATCCTTCATGTCACACAGTATATCCATTTTACGGGTCGATCTTAAATGAAATGACGCACAGCATTAAAGTGATCTTCACGTGTAACGGACTGATACATCAACGTTATAGGCACTGATGAATTTAAAAGAAAGCAAATTAATAGGATAGTGTATTCTGTCCAGAAATGATGATTCTAATAAGGAGTTGTATGTGTGGATGATTTAGTTTCAGGATTGATTCTGGATGGTTGTGGCAAATTTGTGATATGTAGTGGTTGTGGAAAGTGGTTGTAGTATTTGGGTTTGTTTAAGTAAATACCTATAAAAGCTCTGGGTCTAACTAGGATACCAGTTAATGGGCTTGACTATAAAGATTGAATGAAGGGTTATAGAAATTGGTTATATAATATAGAGTGAGAGATAAACAATCTGAACAGACCTCCTCCTACACTCATCACTGTCATCTTCTGTAGATCTCTACTGGATTAAAAGATTACACTCTTCACTGAGTCTGGGTCTGACTCTGTAAACAGTCCAGCCTCCCATTTACTATTACTACCAGTATCTACAGACAGGAAGCGAGACAGTACATTGGTGTAGAATCTCGTGTTGTTACCATGTTCTTATGAAGTAAGGATGTAGGATGAGAGAGGTGTAGCCACCAGCTCCACATCACTATACCCCAGGGGGCCGGGATTTGGGGATACAGGTTTTAGCAGTTTATAGTTTGAGCTGAAGCCAGAACTAATGAGTTTTCCATGTCTGTATTTTGTCTTTATGTTTCTGTGTGTGGCTGTATGTGCCTATCAAGATATGGGGCACATCAGTGCAGAAATCAGTGTGAATCACATTATACAAGAAAAACAAGATTTTTTTTTATCATAAAATAACTGCAGCATTTCATAAACAAAGCCCACTGTGACGTTGTTCATTGGGTCATACCCTGTACAAACTAGGGGCAAGATATATATACCAGGTATATGTTTACGTTCAAGACTCTTAACCATCCCTAAGATTAAGTAATTGTGCGTAGTAGTTACCAGGCGATTTATTGACCGATATCAAACTGCATTACAATATCTGGAAATAAGAGATCTTTCAAGTTCTAATTGTCATGATCTGTCAATATTCTGTCTCATATGTGAGATTATGTCTGATGGTAGGATTAATCAGGGAGAAGGTTACCATCAGATATTGTTATGTGTGTCAGATGTGGATAATTCCTGCAGGTAAGTAGCTATCATGAGGAATCAACCAATGACCTAGCTTGAAAGACCTGCTATACATACTACACATGTAGTAAAGCTCGTGTAAAGTGCAGTGCAAGATGTGTTTTCACACTGGTAAATAACTCCTCTGGTGCACAGGTTGTCGATGATACCATGTAGTCAGACTTACGGAGCGATGAAAATGTCAGAATTCCAATAAGTAGATCCTGTTGTAATGTTCATTAGGAAGTAGTGGTTGGTTGTGACAGTCTGTGTCGCTGGGTGGTTTCACACAATAGGAAGTAGTGGTCTATTGAGCATCTGTCTTGCTGGGTGGTTTTACACAATAGGTATTAGTAGTTTGTTGTGACAGTCTGTCGCTGGGTGATTTCACCAGTAACTCTGCTGATTGCCTACTACAGTACTGCTGCAGATGCAGACTGCTGATGCAGTGTTATGTGGACAGGGCCAGTATTGATGTCATCGTTTTGTGACAAGCATGATGGAATAGCAACAGAATGAAAACATGTCTATTCACAAGTGAATGATAAATTCCAGTCACGGAGATGTCTTTGGTAGTTGTTTAAGTTCGTTATGAATAATGGTCATTAAAGCATGTAAATAGCATGACATGAAAATAATTGGAAGATAATCTATTTGTATGTATATTGACAGGTCCTAAGGGATGGGTTGAATGCTTTGTATCTGACTAGATTGGCCAATACGTTCTAAAAAAGGGGAGATGATATATGTGGTATATATGGGCTCCATTTTAAAAGCAGATGTCATGTACATGTAAAAATATTAAAATCTGTCAAAAATGTGTAATTATTACTTAATTTTTTTTCTTCTCTTGCAGTTCTGAATACTCAGTGACATGTATGACCATCTGTCCAAATCATCGCCATAGGAACAGTTTGCCACGTTGCCATCCTACCCTCCAAGGTGGAGAAGTCGGTGGGAACCAAGGACTTTGGCATTGCTAAAGCTCTGGCCACAATACTCAAACTGATGCAGACAGTGGTCATGGACACAGCGTATGGGCCAATGGTGGGCCCCCCAGCAAGTGGTCTCCAATCTGGGGAGCCAGATATTCTGGACAATGGCAAACATGACCCTAAGATAGGCTCGCAGGAGTCTTTTACAGAATTCCTGGCACGAAGTGCACCCCAAAGTAATGGGCCTGTATTACACAGGCGTGCAGATAGACACTTTAGTAAACGTATGCGCCGACGACTAGTGTACAAAAATGGAGAAGTTAACATTACACAAACAAATATAAGAAAAAGGCGACGACGTTTTCTTGCTGATATTTTCACAACATTAGTTGACATCAAATGGAGGTATAATTTATTATTATTTGCTATGGCATTTATCCTGAGTTGGCTTATATTTGCAGTTATATGGTGGCTGATATGTTTTTCACATGGTGACCTTGACCCTGACAACATGAACAGTGATAAATGGGTGCCTTGTGTCAGGGAAATGCGCTCCTTCACATCGGCACTTTTGTTCTCTATAGAGACGCAGCACACCATCGGGTATGGATCACGACACACAACAGAAGAATGCCCCGAGGCTATCACAGTAATGATGATTCAGTCATGTTTTGGTGTGATTTGTCAGGCTATGATGACTGGTATAGTTTTTGCTAAACTCTCTAGACCTAAAAAGAGAGCTGAAACCCTTATGTTCAGTAAAAATGCCTGTATATGTAAACAGGATGGAGAGATGTGTTTGTTATTCCGTGTGGGTGACATGCGCAAGTCACACATTGTGGAGGCACATGTGCGCGCAGTTGTGATAAAAAAGAAAATCACAAAGGAGGGTGAAATTCTACCCTTGTATCAATATGATGTGGACCTTGGCTATGAGGATGGACAAGACCGTCTCTTTTTGGTCTGGCCTGTTATCATAGTCCACAAAATTGATGAGGACAGTCCCTTCTGGGAAATGTCTCCGGACGATCTTCACCGGGAACAATTTGAGCTGATAATCATCCTAGAAGGGATTGTGGAGTCTACTGGTATGACAACACAAGCTCGCAGCTCATATCTACCTGGAGAGATCCTTTGGGGCCACAGATTTGAGCGTCTGGTCACATTCCGCAAGGAGAACGGACAATATCAGATTGACTTTTCACGATTCCACAACACAATGGCGGTAGATACGCCGCAGTGTAGTGCCAAGGAGCTCGCCGATATGGGTGAAACAGTGCAGGAAAATACATATATTGAAGACGATGAGAATACGTCGTTAGGGTCAACAAAACAAGAAAGGTATCCAAGCCCTTATGTTATCAAGCGACATGGAGTCGCACAAACAGACTTTGATGATGATGATCTTGATTCGCAAGACAGTTCAATACCAAGTCGAATAGCAGCAGAGGAGTCTGAGACTCTCTTATGACAATAAGCCCAACACATAGTACCAAGGTATGTAGAGAATGGTGTTATTGTATGACAGTAGACCTAACACACAATACCAAGCTTCATACAGAATAGTGTTATTTTATGATGGTAGACCTAACACACAGTACCAAGCTTCATACAGAATAGTGTTATTGTATGACAGTAGACCTAACACACAGTACCAAGCTTGATACAGAATAGTGTTGTATGACTTTAGACCTAACACACAGTACCAAGGTACATACAGAATAGTGTTGTATGACAATAAGCCCAACACATTGTACTAAGGTACATAGAGAATAGCAACAATTATTGGCAAGATTTTTTTACAAATAGCCAATTAGTTTGACAAGGTAATGAATACGTAGATAATTACTCTTGTGAGTAATGTATTTGCTCTGCAACATTAATCTTTTAAATGATTTACGAGGACAGGCAGAGCCTACAATAAATATATATTTTGTTATTGTGAAAACAATGTGATAAGATTTAAATTACCAACTTTAAGAATCATTTCTGAAGGGATGAGATCACCCTGTCTTGTCAGCAAAGTGGGTTGAAGGCATGGATGAATATCATAAAAGCATGGATATACCAGTCTAGGACAAGAGAAACCTTCATTTTGTTTTTATATATGACTCACTGTTTCATTCAGCATTGTATTTATATAGTGATAACTATAATGCATGTTAAACCAGATTCTGAGGACAGTCTGTATCTGTGGCTGGGTATCTGTGGCTATTATATATATAGTTTTGTATTGATGGTTTCACATATGGGGTCAATAAATAGTTTGATGCAGGCAGGCTATTGTTCTGACCCAGTAGGAAATGTTTCCTAATGACCTGGCACCAGATACAGATGTGTTGTCCATTGGTCACTACTTAGTCAATGTTGGTGTTGATGGATATGTGAACATATGGTCAGTCCTACTTGTGTGAGAGTCTAGATCTAGGGATATGACTGACAACAACTGACAGTCAGTTCAAGTTCGATGAAGATTGTATGTACAGCTGAAACTCCGAGGATTCAGCCTGATGGCTTTATGATAAAGCCGTACTTTCCTGTCCATAGTTTCTGACCTTTGATTGACATATTAGAGCAGTACTTTCCTGTCCATAGTTTCTGACCTTTGATTGACATATTAGAGCAGTACTTTCCTGTCCATAGTTTCTGACCTTTGATTGACATGATAAAACAGTACTTTCCTGTCCATAGTTTCTGACCTTTGATTGACATGATAAAACAGTACTTTCCTGTCCATAGTTTCTGACCTTTGATTGACATGATAAAACAGTACTTTCCTGTCCATAGTTTCTGACCTTTGATTGACATATTAGAGCAGTACTTTCCTGTCCATAGTTTCTGACCTTTGATTGACATATTAGAGCAGTACTTTCCTGTCCATAGTTTCTGACCTTTGATTGACATATTAGAGCAGTACTTTCCTGTCCATAGTTTCTGACCTTTGATTGACATATTAGAGCAGTACTTTCCTGTCCATAGTTTCTGACCTTTGATTGACATATTAGAGCAGTACTTTCCTGTCCATAGTTTCTGACCTTTGATTGACATGATAAAACAGTATGTCCATAGTTTCTGACCTTTGATTGACATGATAAAACAGTACTTTCCTGTCCATAGTTTCTGACCTTTGATTGACATGATAAAACAGTACTTTCCTGTCCATAGTTTCTGACCTTTGATTGACATATTAGAGCAGTACTTTCCTGTCCATAGTTTCTGACCTTTGATTGACATGATAAAACAGTACTTTCCTGTCCATAGTTTCTGACCTTTGATTGACATATTAGAGCAGTACTTTCCTGTCCATAGTTTCTGACCTTTGATTGACATGATAAAACAGTACTTTCCTGTCCATAGTTTCTGACCTTTGATTGACATGATAAAACAGTACTTTCCTGTCCATAGTTTCTGACCTTTGATTGACATGATAAAACAGTACTTTCCTGTCCATAGTTTCTGACCTTTGATTGACATGATACATCAGTACTTTCCTGTCCATAGTTTCTGACCTTTGATTGACATCATATATCAGTACTTTCCTGTCCATAGTTTCTGACCTTTGATTGACATGATAAAACAGTACTTTCCTGTCCATAGTTTCTGACCTTTGATTGACATATTTAACAGTACTTTCCTGTCCATAGTTTCTGACCTTTGATTGACATATTAGAGCAGTACTTTCCTGTCCATAGTTTCTGACCTTTGATTGACATTATAAAACAGTACTTTCCTGTCCATAGTTTCTGACCTTTGATTGACATGATAAAACAGTACTTTCCTGTCCATAGTTTCTGACCTTTGATTGACATGATAAAACAGTACTTTCCTGTCCATAGTTTCTGACCTTTGATTGACATGATAAAACAGTACTTTCCTGTCCATAGTTTCTGACCTTTGATTGACATGATAAAACAGTACTTTCCTGTCCATAGTTTCTGACCTTTGATTGACATGATAAAACAGTACTTTCCTGTCCATAGTTTCTGACCTTTGATTGACATGATAAAACAGTACTTTCCTGTCCATAGTTTCTGACCTTTGATTGACATGATAAAACAGTACTTTCCTGTCCATAGTTTCTGACCTTTGATTGACATGATAAAACAGTACTTTCATGTCCATAGTTTCTGACCTTTGATTGACATGATAAAACAGTACTTTCCTGTCCATAGTTTCTGACCTTTGATTGACATGATAAAACAGTACTTTCCTGTCCATAGTTTCTGACCTTTGATTGACATAAAACAGTACTTTCCTGTCCATAGTTTCTGACCTTTGATTGACATGATAAAACAGTACTTTCCTGTCCATAGTTTCTGACCTTTGATTGACATGATAAAACAGTACTTTCCTGTCCATAGTTTCTGACCTTTGATTGACATGATAAAACAGTACTTTCCTGTCCATAGTTTCTGACCTTTGATTGACATATTAGAGCAGTACTTTCCTGTCCATAGTTTCTGACCTTTGATTGACATGATAAAACAGTACTTTCCTGTCCATAGTTTCTGACCTTTGATTGACATGATAAAACAGTACTTTCCTGTCCATAGTTTCTGACCTTTGATTGACATATAAAACAGTACATAGTTTTCCTTTGTCCATAGTTTCTGACCTTTGATTGACATGATAAATCAGTACTTTCCTGTCCATAGTTTCTGACCTTTGATTGACATGATAAAACAGTACTTTCCTGTCCATAGTTTCTGACCTTTTTGACATTAAAACAGACATAGTTTCTACCTTTGAACAGTACTTTCCTGTCCATAGTTTCTGACCTTTGATTGACATGATAAAACAGTACTTTCCTGTCCATAGTTTCTGACCTTTGATTGACATATTAGAGCAGTACTTTCCTGTCCATAGTTTCTGACCTTTGATTGACATATAAAACAGTACTTTCCTGTCCATAGTAAAACAGTACTTTCCTGTCCATAGTTTCTGACCTTTGATTGACATGATAAAACAGTACTTTCCTGTCCATAGTTTCTGACCTTTGATTGACATATTAGAGCAGTACTTTCCTGTCCATAGTTTCTGACCTTTGATTGACATGATAAAACAGTACTTTCCTGTCCATAGTTTCTGACCTTTGATTGACATGATAAAACAGTACTTTCCTGTCCATAGTTTCTGACCTTTGATTGACATGATAAAACAGTACTTTCCTGTCCATAGTTTCTGACCTTTGATTGACATGATAAAACAGTACTTTCCTGTCCATAGTTTCTGACCTTTGATTGACATATTAGAGCAGTACTTTCCTGTCCATAGTTTCTGACCTTTGATTGACAGTACTTTGATTGACATGACATGATAAAACAGTACTTTCCTGTCCATAGTTTCTGACCTTTGATTGACATGATAAAACAGTACTTTCCTGTCCATAGTTTCTGACCTGACATATAAAACAGTACTTTCCTGTCCATAGTTTCTGACCTTTGATTGACATGATAAAACAGTACTTTCCTGTCCATAGTTTCTGACCTTTGATTGACATGATAAAACAGTACTTTCATGTCCATAGTTTCTGACCTTTTTCCATAGTTTCTGACCTTTGATTGACATGATAAAACAGTACTTTCCTGTCCATAGTTTCTGACCTTTGATTGACATGATAAAACAGTACTTTCCTGTCCATAGTTTCTGACCTTTGATTGACATATTAGAGCAGTACTTTCCTGTCCATAGTTTCTGACCTTTGATTGACATTATAAAGCAGTACTTTCCTGTCCATAGTTTCTGACCTTTGATTGACATGATAAAACAGTACTTTCCTGTCCATAGTTTCTGACCTTTGATTGACATGATAAAACAGTACTTTCCTGTCCATAGTTTCTGACCTTTGATTGACATGATAAAACAGTACTTTCCTGTCCATAGTTTCTGACCTTTGATTGACATATTAGAGCAGTACTTTCCTGTCCATAGTTTCTGACCTTTGATTGACATGATAAAACAGTACTTTCCTGTCCATAGTTTCTGACCTTTGATTGACATGATAAAACAGTACTTTCCTGTCCATAGTTTCACCTTTGATTACATATTAGAGCAGTACTTTCCTGTCCATAGACCTTTGATTGACATATTTCTTTTACATAGTTTTTTTGACACACATAAAGCAGTACATTCTTTGACAATGTACTTTTTGTTTTCTTTGATGACATGAAAAACACTTTCCCAGTGACCTTTGAACATGATTTTGATAAAAACATTAGAGCAACTTTCCTTCCATAGTTTCTGACCTTTGATTGACATACTCAGAGGCACAAAACAGTACTTGGTGAACCTTGTGACCATTTTTCACTCCATGGGGAGGTTAAAACAGTACTTTCCTGTCCATAGTTTCTGTTTTGATTTGATAGAACACATTTTATTTTGTTTTGTTTGATTGGAGGTAAAACAGTACTTTCCTGTCCAAGTTTCGATTGATTGACATTTACACTCCAGTTGAAAGCACTTCTCCAAGAAATTCTATTATAAAGAGTTTAGGTACA